TTTTCTTGAAAATGTTCAAGTCTTATTCAGCACAGTTTGGAGAACTGATCAACTGATCCAGATTTGTAACGATAAAATAATAATGAGCAGATTTTCATTTAATGTGTGTAAATCTATAAAATAAAATATGACAGACTTTAATAAATTCATTCAACGGTCTCAAATAGATTTATCTAACGGTCGCCAATATCCTTTTCAAAATCATTTATATTGTATCGTACTTTCAGACACGAGTTATCCATAATAAATCAAAATGTAGACAACATTAAATAATACCAAAAGAATCAAACAAAGAATAACAATCACTTGTGAGCATATTCTTAATTAAAGAACTATGAGCTAAAAAATTAACAAGGGTTAAAAACAAAAAAGATTGTTCAATTCATAGATTTTAATATATTCAAGCTAGGACAATATCCCAGTATTCATACTAAAAATTACAGCCATTAGAACTGCAAATTGCAACAGTTAAAAGCTACTCCCTCTGTTCCTAAATATCTGTCGTTTAAGGTTTTTGCACAGAGATTAAGGAAGCTATTAAATAACTCTAATATGAGTAAAAAATAATTGCATAAGACTAAAATACTCTCATTCAATACATATTGGAAAAGAAAAGAATATGAAAGACACTTAGCCTCCATCAAATCTAATGTATTGAAAAATTAAGGGTAAATTTGAAAGAAAAAATATTAATTATGTTTTGGTTTCATTAAACGATAGATATTATGAAACAAAAAAATTGTGTAAAACGACAGATATTTAAGAACGGAGGGAGTATAGAGATGCCAACGAGTTATATACAGCCCATCATATTATGGATATGATTCAACATTTGATTTCCAACCACATTTTTCATAGGACCCCCTTATCTCTTCCTTCTCAAAGCTCAGATATTGTAAGAAGGAACTGAGAAGAAGGTATCAACAACAACACGGCCAAGGATGAACACAAATCTCTAACTCTAATTCAAAATTCTCCCAATTACGGGAAAACTATAGGATATAAAAGAATACATCAATCCGAATTATCCATAAGATTAATTGTGGATCCAACACAACAACAGAAATATTTGAAGTTGGTTTTTTGAATCCGAAAGGGAGTACTTGGGTTTTCCCAATAACTAATGTATATGCAGAGTTTGAGAGTAAGATATTACATAAGCTCCAAGATCATCTTTTGACAAAAAAAAAAGAGAATAGATAAACAGTGGTCTTGAATTTTTTGAAAGACATCCAAGAACGATTATGCAATTGCTTGGTTTAGTTACTGCATGATGATAAAAAAAGTGGTGAGATTCCTAAAAACACGAGCAGAGACACTAAAGGACTAGAAAATGAAGAGACCAAAAAACAGAGACGATGTGTGTGCTTGCAAAGAATCTGGAAGACCTCAATTTTCATTGTTCAAATTCCAATTGCCAATGGACATGTTCATATTGCTGCTTCAAACATTAATTTACTGAATTTGTATAGTCATAAGAGAGATAATTAAAGAAAGTAGCAGAGAGAGAGGGAAAGAGAGAAGTGACAACCCAAAAGATCCTTCCCTTGCTTAACTGACTGGTAGTGCTTCCAATTTCTCCGACATTTTACAAGGGATTCTCCTTTCTAGTGTAGATGTAGTTGGACCAGAAGAGCCCATTCCTTTGAATTGATATTCCTTTAGCATCTGACCAGCCAAAATGATATATATCCAGTGTTAATCAAAAAGAGGTTCACATAATGGAATGCCCTTGTAAGACTATAAGCTTTCTGACCTGTAACAGTGAAAGCAGTTAAAATAGATCATACAATTTTATGCTAACAACAAAGAGGTATGGAAATGATATAAAGGATATAGTTCTCCTCCTTTTTCTGCACATACGATAAAATATATAAAGCCTGCAAGGTCTCTATCTGATATGCACCTTTCTCCAAAATATGTGAAGCTTAGCAACAAGAGAATTTGCACACAATAAAAAGACTGTGGCTACAATCAGACCTCATATCCAAACAACAAGAACCATGATAGTACCAGAATAGCCCAGAACATATGTGCAGTTGATACAAGTGGAAAGAACAAAGCCCACTTNTCTTTATAAATGAACTGATTGAAAGTGCCATGATGCCTTTTTTTTTTTGCCGAAAGAGCAAAAGCATAAAAAAAAAAGGGGGGAAAAAGACGGTGAAGACAACTTCTTGTGTGAAGCGAAGTCTCCCGCGCAAGCTAAAATGGTAATCTTTTTTTTTTGTGGCAACAAATTAATGTATTTAGAGATATGTATCTTAAAATTATTAGATTAACCTTCATCATACCTATTAATTCTTTTTAGGTCTCAAGGGACAGTGTAATTTTGTGAGCAAGAGGAGCAAACACTTATATGAACTTCGGTTCCTAGGAGCACGTCGGCCCAGGTTCAGGTGTGGGTATGATTTAAATTCAACCATATCTTTTAAAAAAATAATGAGTCTTTGTTATTCACCGAAGACAGACTAAAAATTTCTCACGTTATCCCAAAAAAAAAGAAAAGAAAGAAAAAAAATTCTCAATTGAAGTGATTGAACATAATGTTTTTGATTAATGACTTAGATATTGTTGTTGTTTTTCTTGAAAATGTTCAAGTCTTATTCAGCACAGTTTGGAGAACTGATCAACTGATCCAGATTTGTAACGATAAAATAATAATGAGCAGATTTTCATTTAATGTGTGTAAATCTATAAAATAAAATATGACAGACTTTAATAAATTCATTCAACGGTCTCAAATAGATTTATCTAACGGTCGCCAATATCCTTTTCAAAATCATTTATATTGTATCGTACTTTCAGACACGAGTTATCCATAATAAATCAAAATGTAGACAACATTAAATAATACCAAAAGAATCAAACAAAGAATAACAATCACTTGTGAGCATATTCTTAATTAAAGAACTATGAGCTAAAAAATTAACAAGGGTTAAAAACAAAAAAGATTGTTCAATTCATAGATTTTAATATATTCAAGCTAGGACAATATCCCAGTATTCATACTAAAAATTACAGCCATTAGAACTGCAAATTGCAACAGTTAAAAGCTACTCCCTCTGTTCCTAAATATCTGTCGTTTAAGGTTTTTGCACAGAGATTAAGGAAGCTATTAAATAACTCTAATATGAGTAAAAAATAGTTGCATAAGACTAAAATACTCTCATTCAATACATATTGGAAAAGAAAAGAATATGAAAGACACTTAGCTTCCATCAAATCTAATGTATTGAAAAATTAAGGGTAAATTTGAAAGAAAAAATATTAATTATGTTTTGGTTTCATTAAACGATAGATATTATGAAACAAAAAAATTGTGTAAAACGACAGATATTTAAGAACGGAGGGAGTATAGAGATGCCAACGAGTTATATACAGCCCATCATATTATGGATATGATTCAACATTTGATTTCCAACCACATTTTTCATAGGACCCCCTTATCTCTTCCTTCTCAAAGCTCAGATATTGTAAGAAGGAACTGAGAAGAAGGTATCAACAACAACACGGCCAAGGATGAACACAAATCTCTAACTCTAATTCAAAATTCTCCCAATTACGGGAAAACTATAGGATATAAAAGAATACATCAATCCGAATTATCCATAAGATTAATTGTGGATCCAACACAACAACAGAAATATTTGAAGTTGGTTTTTTGAATCCGAAAGGGAGTACTTGGGTTTTCCCAATAACTAATGTATATGCAGAGTTTGAGAGTAAGATATTACATAAGCTCCAAGATCATCTTTTGACAAAAAAAAAAGAGAATAGATAAACAGTGGTCTTGAATTTTTTGAAAGACATCCAAGAACGATTATGCAATTGCTTGGTTTAGTTACTGCATGATGATAAAAAAAGTGGTGAGATTCCTAAAAACACGAGCAGAGACACTAAAGGACTAGAAAATGAAGAGACCAAAAAACAGAGACGATGTGTGTGCTTGCAAAGAATCTGGAAGACCTCAATTTTCATTGTTCAAATTCCAATTGCCAATGGACATGTTCATATTGCTGCTTCAAACATTAATTTACTGAATTTGTATAGTCATAAGAGAGATAATTAAAGAAAGTAGCAGAGAGAGAGGGAAAGAGAGAAGTGACAACCCAAAAGATCCTTCCCTTGCTTAACTGACTGGTAGTGCTTCCAATTTCTCCGACATTTTACAAGGGATTCTCCTTTCTAGTGTAGATGTAGTTGGACCAGAAGAGCCCATTCCTTTGAATTGATATTCCTTTAGCATCTGACCAGCCAAAATGATATATATCCAGTGTTAATCAAAAAGAGGTTCACATAATGGAATGCCCTTGTAAGACTATAAGCTTTCTGACCTGTAACAGTGAAAGCAGTTAAAATAGATCATACAATTATATGCTAACAACAAAGAGGTATGGAAATGATATAAAGGATATAGTTCTCCTCCTTTTTCTGCACATACGATAAAATATATAAAGCCTGCAAGGTCTCTATCTGATATGCACCTTTCTCCAAAATATGTGAAGCTTAGCAACAAGAGAATTTGCACACAATAAAAAGACTGTGGCTACAATCAGACCTCATATCCAACCAACAAGAACCATGATAGTACCAGAATAGCCCAGAACATATGTGCAGTTGATACAAGTGGAAAGAACAAAGCCCACTCGAAACCAGGAATTTGCAATTCTCGAAATAGGTAAAATGAACTCAAATCAAAACAATTCAACACCAAGCTATTATAACTTCAAGAGCGAGATATATGATCACAAGAAGATTTTTCTTTCTTGCAATGGCAGAAGTCGAGAGAGTAGAACATTAGAATAACCATCTGTGGCAAACTATGTAAGTAAAGTTCATAATGACGGGAAGATGGAGTTGCAGAGGATACAACATTGGTATTATAGAATTGTTGAAGGGTAAAATAGTAAATAATTGCTGTTTGGGTTAGCTGACTTTTATTAATAATATAGATATATCCTTAACAATTAAATGTACAAGTCATAGAAAAAGGTCTAAAAGAAATACAACTAAGAAGCACACCAACTTCTTAAGGTAATGAATAAGTTGACTAACATGATGCATGGGAGAAAAACATGTGGCAAACACAATAATTTTGAAGAATTTGGAAAGCTTGTACTTGTTTTAAAATTTAAAAGAAATTCAATGAGATCTTGTATTAGTAGCAGCACCAAAACGTAAAAGTCGAGTACAGTCAGGCTCCTCAACAATTTTTTCCTCGCTTTGCCCCTGATAGGAAAGGTACAATACTCTAATGAGTGGAGGTACGAAATGTTTATTTGAATATACCAGTGGCAGTGAGAAGATCAAAGCATAAGAACTGTTTTGTACACTGGTGTTTATGACAACCGTAGTAGCTTCATGAATAATACCAGTTACTTCTGTAGAACTGAATCTAGTTCTGGCATGTGTCTTCTGGAAGGAGACTTCAAGCTCTAATTTCCAAAGAAGTTCTCTGCCAATCGCTATCTGCAGATATGCAAAGACACATTTTAGATCAACACATCACTGGAAAGATGAATTTTTGTATGCTCACAAATATAACAGATGGTGCAGGCAATCAAGGAAAAGCTGTTGCAGAGAAAAATATTCAACTTTGTGAATAACGACAACAGTAAAAATAACTGAGATGGAAAGATCAAGTCCAAACATCCATGCAAAAGAATGTAAGAATAGCGCACTTATATAACTTATAGCTACATGTCTCACCATCACCAATCCTGATCATTCTTCAAATGTTGTAGCTCTTTAATGTTTCGATGTGCAGAATTCGTTCTGAAGCTGTTAGCTGATTCTTTTGGTGTCCAGGATTTACTAAATTGTATTTTTGCTTTCTTGACTGGAAGAATGAGATCATCAATGCAGAGGATTGATAAGCACATTCAAAATTCAGATCAAATCCTTTGGACATCTGAATTGTCAATCACCCCTTCCGTAGAAAGAATGTTCAGGTACCTGTTCCTTTCTGTGAGTTTGCCATATCTTTACTGCCAAAAAACAACTATTGCCTTGCCCATTGGAATTCTTCAGGCCATGGAAACAACCCATCGAGTTTGAGCTGTACTGAACTGTTAAAGTATCGTAAAACAGATATTGACTTCTCTACTCGGGCATGGTGTCAATGAAATCACTGGACTTACTCTGATGCAAAGCCAGCATTTCCAGCGTCAGATAAATATATTTGAAAAATGGTTTTGAATCATCACTGGATCTGAATTCTTGTACGACATTGTTGACCTCAATCAGACTGCATCCAGGTGTTTTCTTCATGCTCTTACTTCTAATGAATTTCCTCATCCTTGAAACGCTAGCCCACTTTCCTAGATCTGCATAAATGTTTGCAAGTAACACATAGTTTCCTGTGTCATCTGGTTCAAGTTCTAGCAGATGTTCCATTGCAGTAACAGCAATCTCAAGATTGCGGTGAGTCCGGCATGAACTCAACAAAGAACCCCAAATCGCTGAATCTGGCTTCATTGGCATGCTCTTTATGAATTCTAGAGCCCGATCCAGACACCCAGTTCGTCCAAGAAGATCAATTAGACAACCATAATGCTCAATACTTGGCTCGATACTGTAGTCATCCCTCATAGAATCGAAGTGCCATAGTCCCTCATCTAACAATCCTGCATGTGCACAAGCAGATAAAAGACCAACAAAAGTGATCTCGTTTGGATCAACCTTGGCCATCTGCATCTCTCGAAACAATTCAATTGCCTCGAGAGCTTTCCCATGGTGCGCTAGCCCTCCAATCATTGTACTCCAAGAAATCACATCCCTTTCAGACATCTGATTAAACAACTGCCAAGCTTGTTTTATGCTTCCACATTTGGCATACATTTCAATCAAAGCATTGCATACACAATTCTTCTTCAGAAACCCATTCTTGTCCGCATAAAAATGAATCCACTTTCCTACCTCGAGGGCTCCCAACTGCGCACACGCCGACAAAACAGTGGTTAGGCTAATCCAATCAGGCTTAACACCAACCATTTGCATCTTCCAGAAAACATCCAATGCATCAGCATAGCACCCAATTCTGGTGTATCCAGATATCATCGCCGTCCATGAAACAATAGTCTTATTTGGCATTTCTTCAAAGATTGCTCTTGCCCTTCTCATCTGCCCCACTTTTATATGTCCAGAAATCAGACTGTTCCAAGCAATCACATCCCTCTCACTCATTTCATCAAACAACTTATGTCCATCATTCAAAGTACCACACTTCACGTACATATCCAACAGTGAATTCTCAATCACAGTACTAGATTTCAAACCGAATTTACAGGCATGCCCATGAATTTGCTTACCCAGATCAACACACAAAAGTCCTCCACAGGACCTAATAACAAATGGGTATGTATATCTGTCAGGAAAAATAGGCTCTTCACCTTGTGGGTGTCTCAGCATTTGCTTATACACATTGATTGTCACTTCATACATGTGGTTATGTGTATATGTTCTAATCACAGCATTGTACACGAAATTATTTGGCTCAGCCAATTGTTTGAATAGCAAGCTTGCATAGTCTATTTCCCCGCTCTGATCACATATATCCACCATTTTTGTCACTAAGAAGTTGCTTTGAGATAGCGAGAACTTCACCATTTGGGCATGTATTTTCTTCAAGTATCTTATGTTCACGCAATTTCGCAATATGGGTATGAACATATCTTCCATTGCTCTCGTTGTCAAGACTCCCACTTCTACTGCCATTGTCAACGTGAGCGAATGGAAGATTCAACAAATTACAGATATTAACTTGCAGAATCTTAGAANATGACCTTCTCTGCTCCGAAAGCACCCAATTATCAGAGCAACCAGATGATTATGAACAACAACGGTTGTCTATTTTGCACAGTCCGAGTGGGTACTTAAGCGAAGATTCACGGATCGAGGGAGCCTGGGCTCACTGGAAGAAGCTTGGCCAGCCCAAGCTGATTGTTGCTCCAATGGTCGACAACTCGGAGCTTCCTTTCCGATTGCTATGTCGCAAGTACGGTGCCGAAGCTGCTTATACGCCCATGCTTCACTCTCGTATTTTCACCGAGAATGAGAAGTATCGGTCTCTAGAATTCACCACCTGCAAGGTATTTGCTTCTTCTTGCTCTGCTGGGGTGTGTGTGTGTGTGTGATTTTATTTTCATTACTGCATCATTTGCTTAGTTTAGACTTGGAATTGTAATGAGAGAATTCTAGAAGTAGGAATTAGAAGCATGAATTGCTACTCAGTGGGATTAATGTACAATTTGGCAGGAGGATCGCCCACTTTTTGTCCAATTCTGTGCAAATGATCCAGATACTTTATTGGAAGCAGCTCGGAGAGTAGAACCTTATTGTGATTATGTGGACATTAATTTGGGGTAACAATCTCTATCATTTGATGAGCAGTGTTTCAATTTAAGCTTTTGCAAGATATTGTTCTCATTTCATGGCAGCTCTGTGTATATTATGTAAGTCACATGTTTACCACTTGAAGGTTTGTCCCCAATTGAAAATATCCGAAAGNTCTACCATAAATAACCCTTAAAAATTATAAATAACCCAACAGAAATTATAACTAGTAAGGTACCGTAGTCTTCTCCTATAAATCACAAGTCTCATGTCAATCACCTGAAACATCTTCTGATTATCCAAGCGGATGAACAATTGTGCAAATTATACAAGCAAGATCAACTATNAAAATTTAAGGATTATATATAACTTCGGAAGGCTATTAATAATTTTTGAGGATTATTTATATCAGTTGCTATTGATCATAAAAAATTTATGATCTACCATAAATAACCCTTAAAAATTATAAATAACCCAACAGAAATTATAACTAGTATGGTACCGTAGTCTTCTCCTATAAATCACAAGTCTCATGTCAATCACCTGAAACATCTGATTATCCAAGCGGATGAACAATTGTGCAAATTATACAAGCAAGATCAACTATATGTAATCCACCAAACAGTAGGAGATAAACACGAATAGATACACGCTACCTAAATAACACTGAATAATTATTTCCTACAAAAATGAAACATGCATGGCATCGTTTTCTGCCTATGGCCCTTCAAGCAGTACAAAAAGGCCCAACTCGTCTGGCAATATGTTATCCGGGTCCTTGCTTGTCTACAATCGNCTTGTTCCTAGCAGCCAAGTTTATGCAATGAATCATATTAATTAATAACTTGTCACCAAATATAGTAGATGAGCTAAAATATTGTAATATAAATTTGATTGGTATACAGACAAACNTAAACACGAATAGATACACGCTACCTAAATAACACTGAATAATTATTTCCTACAAAAATGAAACATGCATGGCATCATTTTCTGCCTATGGCCCTTCAAGCAGTACAAAAAGGCCCAACTCGTCTGGCAATATGTCATCCGGGTCCTTGCTTTTCTACAATCAATACTACTGTTGGTATGAAGGCGGGTAAGTAGGTGCAGCAGCAGCAGCAGCAGCAGCCCCATAATCATAAGCAACATAATTGTTCTGTCCTCCATATGATCCTTGCCCATAAGATCCACCACCCCCTACTCCCCCAGCTGTCACGGCCTGAGGCGGATAAGAGTATTGCTGAGGAAGTGCAGCAGGGCTCTGGCTGTGAGTCCCACCATACCCCTGCGCATATGGGCCTCCAGCAGGAGCTTCGTACACACTATGGCTGGGATAGGTGTATGGTGCAGAGAATCTGGTAGCTGGGGCCTGATGTGACTGTGGAGGGTTCCTGTGGCGGAGAGAAGGTGACGCATTAGAAAACCTTCCTGCTTTAGGTGATCGGAAGGAGGGTGGGCCACTGCCACGACCACTGCCTCCATGAGGCCGCTTGTTTGAAGGCTTGCTTGTGGATGCTGCACCCTTCTTCTTGTCTGCCCTGGCCTTCTCCAGCTGCGTAATCCGCTTCCTTAGGCTGTCTATGCCAAATTGCTTCTCAAGCTTGTAGTCATCCACGCATTTTATTATAGCTTTAGTTGCATCCAGTTCCAAGTTGTTGGCCCTTTCCTGAATATCAACAATAGGAATGCAGTATTGAATATAGAGTGGAAGTATACAACGTAGGTGGAAATCTGGAACAGAAACAGCTGGCGGCCTCTGAACAACATATGCATAGGAGATATTTGCTTTTATTTTCCAAGTTTTTGATGTCACAAATCCATCCTTCCGAAGCACAATGTCATAACTCAAAATGTAAATATTCAAAAGTATGCCTTGCATGGTGAAGATAGGCAACTGTCCAAATGTGTTAAAAATTCATTTTTTTGTCTTTCTTTTTTTTGAAAATGTTCAGGAATAACAGAAGAAAACAACCAGCCAAAAGTGGAATGTAAAACAAAGTAAAAAGACACTATCTGAAAAAAGCATTCATTCCTGTGTGGTGCCAAACAACCCAACCTCGGGTCATATAGCCAATGGCGTTCAAGAAAGAAGAAAAGCGAAAGGAAGGGAAAAAAGGTCAGCAATAACCCACCACTGATGCCATACTGTGTTTTCCTCTCTGGGATATGCTGTTAGCCATTTTCCGGCAATTCCTGAGACTTGTCTTGAGCAGTTCAACAGGAGGAAACCTCTCAGTCAGTCCAGACTCAAAAGCAAAATATATGGCTTCAATCTCTTTCCCACTGTTGACCAAATCACCAATTATATCTGGGCAAAGAGAACCAGCAACTTCCATCAATATATTTGTTCTTATAACTTAATTAAAACAAACGAATGGATGAAAAAAGTTCTGCTAAAAATATGAGATTTGAGACTGAGATACAGCAAAATGAAAGCATGAAGCTAGACCACCAAATTCATATTTTTTGTTTTCTAGCTCCCTCCGTCATCATTAACCCCCACACCCAGACAGACAGATAGACAGACATGTATAGTGCTTGTGTTTTGATATAACCACAAGAAAGAGATTATCAAACAAAATGTAGCACATGTATGACAAACCATAACCAAGATCACACAAGTAAAATTAAAAAGGACTACATTTTACATCAAATTTTCTCATAAAATGTGCACATCTATTTATCGCTAGTTAAGGTATACCATACAATACAAACCTCCTATTTTGTCCCCAAAACCCAAAGCCACTGCAAGCTTTGGCATATCCCTTCTCGCTGCGAAGTCCACCACCAATTTCCTCAAAAAATCATCCTCAAATTTTTCCTTCAACCCAAAACCAATTACCATTTGTAAAAACATTGTCGCTTCACTTGCCCCAACTCCACCACTCCCTTCTCCACCACCCAAAACTCCCTTCCATTTCTCCAACACCCCTGCTGCCCTCTCCTTCAAGCTCCTCCCTACACTGCCACTTGATTCCCCAATTGGAACCGCTGCTTGAATCAACATCCCACACGCCCATCGTCTATCTGCCATCCCCACCTTTCCCTCCACCTTCATCCCCACAAACTCCTCCACGGCATCGAGCACCAACCTGTAACAATCAGAAATAAAAATAAGAGACTAATGAAAGAAAGAGAGACAGACAGATAGAGGACAAATAATCCCGTGAAGCCAGAACTCCCTTGATAAACACCACTTTCAGCCCCTCAACACCTATAATCAACAAGCTAGCAAACTCTACGGTGGTGTTTGGGTAGTGGGTTAAAGGTGGTTATCCACTAGTTGGATGAGATAAAAAAGGGGAAGGGTCCATATAACCTTTGTTTGGGAATGAAAAAAGGAGGTGGGATATAATTTTCGGGTTATACCATGACCCGAATGAACAATCATCTTTTGCAAGCCTACATGGGTTAATTTTAACCCATCTATTCGGTGGGTTACACAAGCCAACTGACAGGATATTGTGTGAAAATACAAATTTGTCGTTGCTTTTCCAATTGTCGAGGAACGATGGCAGAGGCATAGCTGGGTTTTGAGGTAAGCCCATCTCTCTCTCTCTCTCTCTCTCTCTCCGAAGAGAGGATTTGGTTCTTTCTCCCTCCCTCTCTCACGAACTTATCTAAATTACTGGTGGAGGCAGTACTGGGTTGGGTCGTTGGTGGTTCTGCTGAAACAGAGAGTGGTGGGTAAGGGATTTGATTTTGGTTTTTTTTATTGGGTGGCGATGGGGTGACGGAGGTGCTATCGCTCTCTCTCGAACTTATCTAAATCATCAGTGGAGACGGCAGTGGCTTAGGTTGCTAGTGGTTCTGTTGAAACAAAGAGTGATGAGTAAGGGATTTGATTTTGGTTTTTTTTTTTTTATTGGGTGGGGATGGGGTTACGGTGGTGTCCTCTCTCGCTCTCTAGATTCATTTTGAGGAATTTGTGGATTGAAAATCAAGATATCTGAATTCAATTATTTCCCACTTTCGCATCTCAAATTCTTGACTATTTGGATCCAGATGATTCAAATTTGTGGGGTCTTCTTGTTGGGAAAAAGAGTACTTCGCTGGAGAGGAAAGAGATGAGGTTCCAATTTTCATTTAGGTGACTGATTCAGTGTTTGTATGGTGGTTATTTTTTTGACCGCAAAACTGATGTAAGATTGAGATTGAATTTGTTTTGTGTAGGAGATGTAGTGGCCAGAAGTTCCCAGGTTTTTGGTGCAATATTTTTTGGCAAAAAAGGGGGTCCAAGATAGTTTCATCCATTTTTGACATCTATAATATTTTTTAATCCAAACATAAGGTTGGGGGGTGTAATAGTCAAAACATATCATATTAACGTTATTACATCACCATTGTCCGTGGACCCCATGGAGATGGAAAATATGTTTACCAAACATTGGCATGGATACAATTTACATACATATCCAATCTGGATGACCTGTTAGACAGGGTTGGCTTGGATAAACAAGGCTATATTTTTGATATCCTATTCATTCTAAACCCATTATCCGAAACACACCCTACATATAACTGAATCAAAATTCCTAATGAAAACTAATAATTACATACCTAATCTACTTGTCTTGTTTATATTATATAAACAATCAAATGTCATAATAGTATAGTAGCAGGCAGACTCTAAAGATAAACAAAAAAATAAATACTAACTTTTATATAAAACCTACATATCACAGTTGTTCAAACTCCTAGTCTGCTAATAGGGAAGCCTTGGGGAGGGATAAATCCAATCCAAATCTCAAAACAATAGTTAACACATTAAAATTCCAAGCCACAATCTACTTTAATTTAGGTGGCTGCTAAATCCACTACTTTTTTCTCATTCCACAAACATAGGATTGACAAAGCACATATCATTATTAAAAAAATCTGTCTTTACATTCTTTTGAAGATTAATATAATGAAGTATCATGGAGAAATTTCAAGAGTGATGATCACAAATGCTATTAACACAGCACAAACCTCATGGAATCCACAGCCTCCTCCACTGCCGTTGCAATCTCAGACCTTAAAGCCACCGATTCTTTCCTCTTCGCCAACAGAAATCTTAAAAGCCCACCAGAATCCATCCTCTTACAATATATCTTCAATATATCAGATAAACTTTTCTCTCCTACACTCACCGAATGATCAAAATTCACAATGTCCTCAATCGCCGACGCCTTTTGCTCGTCGATTTTGGCCGCCAAATCCGATTCGCGTTCCGGTATGGCATTTTCCCGCTTTTCAAGTTCTTCGAATGCAGTTTTGGTTTCGACATTGAAGGCTTCGATTTGGGAGTCTAGGGTTTGGGATTTTTTGGAGAGAGATTGGTCTATTGATTCGAAATGAGTAGTTATGGTTTTGTGGAGGTCAGTGATCTTTGTTAAGAGGGTTTTGCGTTTTTCGAGTTCGCCGAAGAAGGTTTGGAATCGATCGGGGTTGATTGCTATGTCTGTGGCCATTTCTCCTGGGTTTTGGAACAAGAGGGGAAGAGAGAGAGAG